AGAGAGAGAGGCAGAGAGAGAGGCAGAGAGAAGCAGAAAAAGAGAGAGGCAGAGAGAGAGAGGCAGTGACAGAGAAGCAGAGAGAGGGGCAGAGAGAGAGGCAGAGAGAAGCAGAAAAAGAGAGAGGCAGAGAGAGAGAGGCAGTGACAGAGAAGCAGAGAGAGGGGCAGAGAGAGAGGCAGAGAGAAGCAGAAAAAGAGAGAGGCAGAGAGAGAGAGGCAGTGACAGAGAAGCAGAGAGAGGGGCAGAGAGAGAGGCAGAGAGAAGGCAGAAAGAGAGAGAGGCAGAGAGAGAGAGAGAGCAGAGAGACAGAGAGAGGCAGAGAGAGAGAGAGGCAGTGACAGAGAAGCAGAGAGAGGGGCAGAAAGAGAGGCAGAGAACAAGGCAGAGAGAGAGAGAGAGGCAGAGAGAGAGAGAGAGGCAGAGACAGAGAAGCAGAGAGAGAGGGGGCAGAGAGAGGAAGAGACGCAGAGAGAGTGAAAGAGGCAGAGAGCGAGAGAAGGAGAAAGAGAGAGGCAGAGAGAGGCAGAGAGAGAGCGAGAGAAGCAGAGAGAGAAGAGGCCGAGAGCGAGGGATGCAGAGAAAGAGAGAGAGAGAGAGAGCGAGAGAGAGAGAGAGAGAGAGAGAGAGAGAGAGAGAGAGAGAGAGCGAGGGAGAGGGGGAGACAGAGTGAAGGAGAACACCGATTATAATGAGAACAATAATAATGATCTAAAAATAGCGCAGCCGCTCTCTATTCAACGAATGCATGCTATTCGCAAATCGTGCCATTTGAAAATTGCGTGATGATAAATTGAGACGAATTGTAACGATATAATATAGGGGCGATGTGATACGTCATTGACGTACGTGTTCACGGTCAGCACCTTTACCAGCGCCAATATGAATATGATAGCATTACATGGATTTTAATAGCAAACACGAAGTAATATTAGAATATTATACGCGTGTGCGGGCACACTTCGCACAATATCACGTTGTGTGCTGTCTGTGTATTCCAGAAAAGTTAAAAAAAAGTTTTCCTGGGCTGAACGTAAACAGTGACCATTTTAAACAAGTTATGAAATTCATATTATTCAATATTCTACAACAGGACATTTGCTTTTATTATCTCCTCATGTGTATATAGAAATCTACAGCTATACTCCTGCCCGTCTCGGTCTGCGGTGCTGCATTATAAGGTTAAAAGCTTGGTTGCGATAGCGAAGTGAGATGAAGTGAAACCAAAGCGTTCCTGAACGAATTACACCCACTGAGCATACATACATCGTGCATTCCACATCCACGACGTATATTATTTATTGAGGGTCAATCCATATACTTAGTTAATGGCGAAGCACAGTGTTAACAAGTACATTCCCTAAGCAATTTGCAATATTGTCCATATCTCTGACATTTTCACGGAAATCTTTTTGAGCCACTTGACCTTCGGGCAAATATTCTGTAAAATGTACATGCCCGAATGACATTATAGTTGCCCCTATATTTCGCAGGAATATTTCTGTAATATCGAGTAAAGAAGTGTATATCAGACAACTTCTAGACGCCATTCGTTTCCGGTGATAACATTTCGTGATTTTAAATTAAAAACCTTTAGTTAATGGCCAGTTGTATTATAGTTTATGCGTTTTTAAAGCAGGAGCCCGTCGGGCAAGTAAGCTTGCAATGTTTACATGCCCGCCGAGATTTCTACACGTCTCGGGCATCGGACATCCGGCTAAATTCGAAGACTGAAATCTCTAGTTTCACCTAGGTATTTGGCACTGCTAAGAATTACAAGAGCGCTTAGAAACTAACTGCCATGAACACGTTTCGTTAACATTAACTTGAGACAGTATTTAGGGATGTTAGGCGTGTTCTTGCACGCTTATAGTTATGCGTAAACACTTCACATTCCTACTTTGCTATTAGATTAGAAATCAGAAATGATCAACATTCGCGATTGTGCAAATCGTGTCGGAAACGATTTTCTTGGAAGGGGGGATTTACTAACGTGTATTAAAATGGTACACTCATCATGTTCAAAACGCCGAATGTCTGAATAATCAACCTGTTAGTACTACGCAGCAGAAATTTTATAGTTTTGTATAAGGGCCCTTTCTGGCATGTACAGTCAAACCTGGGTTATCGACCGGACACCTAAAACGTACACGTTTGGCATTTACCCTTCGTAGCAGTTATAAAATGAACGCCTGTCTAGTGTAGACGTTTCTAGGTGATTGGCCCTTATATGCAGGTTTAACTGCACAGCCATTATATACAACGCTAATCGATAATTTCACCCAACTTCAGCCGAACACTCCTTTGCAGCAAAGACAAGCATCCTGTCACTCTACGACACAGCATCGTCCGCCCGTGTTTAATGTTACGTTCTCTATAAGACATCTTTGACATTATACCGTTACACCCATATAGAAAGATGACTCGTGGGACCCCCCTCTCCGAAATGGCATCCTGTATAGATAGGTTGTGCGTTCTATAGACGAGTACAGGCGTTCTACGCGCTGACATTGACTAGACATTGTACAATAATCATTAACGACGCTTTCGTTCATTCAGCAAGCCGTGATCACTCTCGCAGAAATGCCTGTGATTGCGGAGGGCGGGGCGGGGCGGGGCGGGGGCGGCGGCGTCTGCGCACATTCGGAAGCGCAGACACGTGGTGAATCACAGGGAAAAACTTCACGCCCACGTGACGTGCAGGCTGTCGAGACACGAAGCCAGGCGACGCCTTGCTGCCGAGACTGTATGGATTCTGCTGCTCCTGCTGCTGCTGCTGTCTGGTGGAAAATAATGCCCACTATATACAGGGAAATGTGACTAGCTGCAGACAGCCCATATGGCAAGTCAGAGACAAAAAACTATACCTACACTTATTTGCAATGGCCGTAATTTTCACAGGGGACGTGATTATCGATCTGTACACAGCTCATATGGAAAGTCTGACACAACAAACTATGTTAACACTTAGCAACGGCCGTAATTTCCACAGAGAAACGTTACTAGCTGCTGACAGCCCATATGAAAAGTCAGACACAACAAATTAAGCCTACACTTAATTTACAACGGTCGCAATTTTCACAGGGGAACGTGACTAGCTGTACACAGTCCATATGGCAAGTCGGAACCAGCAAACTATACATTTATTTCCAATACAATCCTGAGATTCGTTTGCGTTTTTAGGTTTACAATATCCAAACTACAGCCGTGCCGCTACGGGACTCGTATCAACGGGTCAAACTAAATGAAATATTGTAGGTGGAGTTCTCAACAATAGAATTAATGACTTGATTAGACTAATTAAAAGCATTACGCCTATTATTATCAGCTATGACGTTTCTTGAAGCGGTACTGTCAACTCTGTGATTGCACACGCCCCTATAGAACGGACACCTGTCTATAAAAGACATTTTAGGCATTTCCCCTGGCAGTCGTAAAGTAAAACTACCTGCATTGAACAGACGCCGGTTTATAAATGACATATTTGGGCAGGTTATATGATACATTAGTGACTCCGTAATCAGAGATCGTAACCCGCACCTAGAAGTCGTTAGGAATCAATCTGAACCCCTTATAGGCCCAGCCACAAAGGGGTTCGGAGTCAGTACGGTTATAATCAGGAAGTTACTGGCGCCAGAATTTATGAATGATAAAAAAACTCTGCAGATTTCACACCCTTAGCCGGGCTTGAAAATAACCTAAAATCTTCACTAGCCAGCAGGGACAGTGATCTGAAAATCGACCAGGTCGTTAATTCCCTGGAGTGTGCCTGTGTGGTGCTGAAGTGGCATGGTGAGCAGTTATCGTCTCACAGGAAGTCTGTTGGGATGGGCTGCTGATTATAGACTATCCGAGATACATTCTGTGGCTTGCCACTTTGGTCATGGGGATGTCATTTAAATAAACATTAGGATTGAAGCCTGCCGAAATTTTGTGATGAATTTGACTTTTGCACACACAAATTAAATATTATACTTGAATCAGATGAGCTCAGTTGCACAAAACGTAGCTGCTGATTTGAGTATTACTGGCACTCGCCAGCAGGGCTGGTCAGCCAAGACATGCTACTAGCCCTCACGGCCGATTTCTACTATAGCCTCGAGCGAGCAGGAAAGCGTTAGTTTCAAGCCCTGCTTAGATCAAATGTCAAGAAATCAGTTAAAATGACGATGATCAACAATGATCTCTGTGATTTTGAAGCTATCCAACCGATTGCACATTCTCATATGAACTTGTTGTTTTCCTTTGATATTGCTACATGGAATTTCAAAGTAGGCCTACAGTGCAGAATGTTAATTTGAATATCTTTTTAATATCCAATACACTGACTCATTTTAAATGCATGCCTACGGCTAAATTTATTATTTATACACTGCGATGTCTTCAAATCCATTTCCTTTGCAACATAAATTAAACATTCCACTCACGAAGAAATAATCTGAAAATCAATAGACAGCGTTGAAAAGGCCAACACTTAAAAAAGAAACTTGCTTACATGTGCATCTGCACGGATGTCACAAAATGGGTGCGCATAAAAGACTCGCACAAAAGAAGCTGTTTGGATTCGAAATTATTTGAAAGCCACTGTTGTTGTGGAAAACAGTCCCAAACGATGTAAACCATATTATTATAGCAATACATTTCCTAGCTTTCCCTCCGCTACGGCATATATATATATAGACTATATATATAGACTATATATATATATATAGTCTGGGACGCACAGCCTCTAAACTATGTGACATAGCTACTAGCAAGTAGGGCGGATCCCTAAGCTTACAAAACGGGGGAATAAATCGCACAATCGGCCATGATGAAATCTTGATTATGTAATAACACAGACAACATTGCGTTAGCAGTCACCGACATCTTTCGAACGGACATCTTTTTATATGGGACACTTTTGTCATTTACATAGAGGGTCAGCTAGTTATACGACGTACCGACCTCTATATATCAGACACGTTGTTTATAAAGCATACCTAGTGTCAATTTCCACGATTTTGCATGACAAATGATTCTTGTCCTAATATTCACTTTTCTCGATGAAATTTAACTTAGACATCTTGAATACTAATACTACGTATTGATATTAATAATTGACGGGGTAATGGGTTAGTATATTAATAGCACCGTAGCCTATGTAAATTCCTAGGAAGGGTGAAGCAAAATTTCACGATGCAGATAAGCAATAATGAGGGAGGGCCACAGCCATCACGCAATGCGCACGAAGTGTCGTAGCAGTGGTGGGTGTATGACAAGGGTTTCAGGGATGACTAGCGAATTACTTGCACTTCCATCGGGGTCATTCATCATTATTATGCTCTCATTTTCTTTTGGGAATAACATTCAAAATCTTGGGAGCGTGCACCTGCCCCCTCCCCCCACACACACAGAGACTACGGCTCTGGTTAAAAACGACTGCACTCCCCACTCCTCTTCTGACAGAATGCACGAGCACCTGCCTCCCCCCTGCCCCCCCCCCTACAGAGAGAGAGAGAGAGAGGAGAGATAGAGAGGAGAGAGAGAAAGAGAGAGAGAGAAACTATATACAACTCTGGTTAATAAGGACTGCACTCACCACTCCTCCTCCGACAGAATGCACGAGCACCGACTTGCCAGCCCGCAGGTTGCCGATCTCGAACAGCATGATGTAGGCGACGGCGTAGTTCAGCGGGATCGCCGCCGCCTCGTGGAATGTCATGCCGGCCGCCATCTTGTAAACGTGCTTCGCCGGCACGGCAACCAGCTCCGCCCAGGCGCAGAACTCCGACAGTGCCATCACGTGGTCGCCCACCTGAAACGGTTTAGCGACTTACTTTACCATTACTGCTCGCGTCAATACCTCCACCTAAATCACGTGGTTTCCATGAACATACAATGCAGGGGTAGAAATTAACTTTTGAACAAGCGAGTCCAACGGACTCCCTATACCACCAAAAAGAGGGAGTCCGCAGCAAAATGAGGGAGTCTGCATTATATAAGTAGTACCGCAGATATTAACAAAAAGGACATTTGCGGTGCACGTCTGCAAAATTTTCTTGGGCCATTTCCTAAAAAAAATATGGTAATTCCGCAAGGCCGCGCTCTGGAACGAACTAGTTAGTATAGCAGAATTTTCAGGGAGTCACACGGACTCTAGCATATGTCAAATCAGGGAGTCCGCTCTGGAACGAACTAGTTAGTATAGCAGAATTTTCAGGGAGTCACACGGACTCTAGCATATGTCAAATCAGGGAGTCCGGCAGTAAATCAGGGAGTATTTGACTCCGGACTAATTTCGCACCCTGCAATGTTTAGTGTTACATCACTGCTACTGCCTCGTTCTACATTACGTGGTCCCTTGTAGATACAACGGATAGAGTTACATCACTGCTACTACCTCGTTTTACGTGGTCCCTTGTAGATACAACGGATAGAGTTACATCACTGCTACTACCTCGTTCTACATTACGTGGTCCCTTGTAGATACAACGGATAGAGTTACATCACTGCTACTACCTCGTTCTACATTACGTAGTCCCTTGTAGATACAACGGATAGAGTTACATCACTGCTACTACCTCGTTCTACATTACTAGGTCCCTTGTACATACAACTGATAGAGTTACATCACTGCTACTGCCTCGTTCTACATTACTAGATCCCTTGTACATACAACTGATAGAGTTACATCCCTGCTACTGCCTCGTTCTACATTACTAGGTCCCTTGTACATACAACGGATAGAGTTACATTACTGCTACTGCCTCTCTCTACATTACGTGGTCCTTTGTACATACAACTGATAGAGTTACATCACTGCTACTGCCTCGTTCTACATTACTAGGTCCCTTGTACATACAACGGATAGAGTTAACATCACTGCTACTGCCTCTATCTAGATCTCGTGGTTCCCTCATACATGCAATGGTTAGTGTTACATTATTTCTACTACCTATATCTACATCACGTTGTTCCATTGTACATATAACCAGTAGTGCTATATTATAGCTATACTGCCTCTGTCTACATCTCGTGGGCCACTTATACATACAATCAGGAGTTAATGAGACAAATTTGTCTCATTAACTCCTGATACAATGTTTAGTGTTACATTACTGCTATACCTCTCGTGGTTCCCTCATACGTTATCATACAATGTTTAGTGTTACATAATTACTGCTATTACCTATGTCTACATCACATGGCACCCCTCATACGAACATACAACGGTTAGAGTTACAGTATACTGCTACAATCTCTATCTTCATCTCGTGGTTCACTCATACATACGATCAAGAGCGCTTGATACGATGGTTATAGTGTTACATTACTGCTCTGCCTGCCATCTACATCATGTGGTTCCACCTATATATCTCAAGCGTTTAGGAGTATTACACTCCAAAATGAACCGTTCAGCAATGGGTGCGGTGAAATAAATCGATTCTGGGTTTACGTGCACAGACGTGTTTTTATCCCTTAATCAAACAAAACATGCTGCGCCAGATTTAAAGTTATTATTAAAAACCGTGATTATCGCTCGATTCAATAGCGCTGTTGGCTCTTTCCATGTATACATTCGAGTGATGGAATAAAAGTGTAAAAATACGTTGTAAAACGAAATAACTGACTATTATTATTAAATCTTTATTGCATGTAATTCAATTACAAATCCATGTACAAAGGCCGCCGACGGAAAATTACCTGTACCACCTGTAATACACAGTGCCGTAACCTGCCACTACCTACATCGTCATCACGCGGTAGTTCCCCCTACCTGTGACGGTTACAGCTACCAGCATTACTACCTGCATCTACATCCAGGATTGCGCGCCTAGCTAGAGCTCTATCTGTGCTGACCTACTGAGAATGCCCTGATGATGCCCTAGATGTGTGTAGCGCAGGAGTTTCATCAAGCTTCCTGCATTCAACACAGTCAAAGCCCGAGTTAATCACTGTTAAACAGCCAGCCATCAGTCGCGTCCTAATAAATTTGAAGTGGTACGTTTTCAGAAGCATCATTGATAGATATTACCAGGAGCGCATAATATAGATCTATATTACGACACACCTGATATTACCATGACAAAACTAAAATGGCGTAATGTTAAATGGTATAACTTATGCATGTAACTTCACCTAACAAAAATAATTTTGAGATTTTAGACTCATGATAGTCGTTTTCATTTACGATGTTCCTATCAACTTTCTGGACGATTTCTGCACAGTTTATTTTATTCTTTCCTACTTGCACCTTGCCTTCCTCTTTCTTTCTCTTCCTTGCTGCATGTTTCTTCTATCCCGCCACCCTTAACCCACTCAGTAGCATAACGGTCACTGGTGACATGACGTTAAACAATAATTATTAGATGCATAAGACCATAACGTATTAATTATGCTTATACTTAATACGCTTAATATGCTCATACTTAATACGCTCTTGATTAGTTGTAGCTGCACGCAAGTCTGCAAACTCATCGCGCGACTGGAGATTGTAAGATGACGAGGAGTTTTTCCGCGCATCCGCGGATCTGACACGCAAACTCATTATTATATCCGTACACGCCCGCACACAGCCAGAATAAAAGGTCGCAATTTACATAAGTATAGTAGGTGTGAGAGGATGAGCACAAGCGCTCGCACGCACGCGATTGATCGCTCGTGCTGCGATAGCATTATTTCGGGATATCATATGCAGACTGGCCAGAGGCGCGCTAAGAGGAAATGCCGAGATCATTATATTATATATTAATAAGTGTGTGTGTGTGTGTGTGTGTGTGTGTGTGCGTGCATGCGTGCGTGCGTGCGTGTGTGTGTGCGTGTGTGAAAGAGAGAAGGAGAAGGGGAGATAAAAGCGACACTGCGTGCAGCTGATTATCGATTAATAAAATGTTAGGAGCTTATTGCCAAGCAATCACTGCCAAGCTCTCTATTTGTCACGGCCGCACAGAAAAGCAGGGTAGGCTAGCTGTCGCAACATCTGTAATACCCCGTTAACCGCCGGTCACATCAAAGCGCAAACACGTGGAGCGCCGTCTGTGTAGACCTTCAATTCACAACAGTTTTCGTTGGAGGCGTGATGGACTAAACATGTAGCGTACTGCCATGTGCGAGATGATAACTAAACGTAATTTACAGTACGGAACGCATCCAGCATATATATGATTAACACCAAATACATATAGAGTAACCTCAAAATCTTATATTAGTCTTTAACGTCCATGGGACTATATAAATGGAATACAATGTTACGATTTCAGTTTTTCGATGCATTTCTATAAATATAATAGAGCAATATTCAGTATTCATGCAAGCCTTGCATCTGGTTAAATTTGCAAAGGATTTTACCCAGAACACCATGGTAGCTGCATGGCAGCAAAGGGAACAGCTGCAGTACGTTTGGATAGTAGCTCTGGTAAATCACAACATATCTGCCTACACATGTGCTTCCAAGGAATAAATTTAACTGAATAATGCGAAATGGGGAAATGAATAAATATATACTATTAACATTTTTTAAACTGAAAAATGAAATTCAGACAAGCACACATGTAATTGTATGTATATATATACATATATATATATATAATTTCACCCTGCATAATTGTTATATCAAGAATTACTCCAGTTTTCTGCTGGAAAATGAGACACAAAACAAAGCTTTTTCAGAAAATTTTCATCATATCAAAATGCACCCTTTCATACAGAATGCAGCACAACCATTGGTTACAACCTTTAATGGTGAAACGGTCAATACTTCGCATCTAGTCCAGGAAAGCATTTCTCATGAACAGGGGGTGGCTGCTAACAGCTAACAGCATTTCACTGCCTCCTACTGGCTAATCAATATAATGCGTCTGAGAGGGATCAACCCGCAGTTGGATTTGCCGAATAAATTGGGATACGGCTGAATAAATATGCTCGACTTCACTGCAATGGGTACTACACACGAAGGTCGCCGTAGAGTAACATTACAGTAATCAGGAAAGGTTAGACTTTTCCTTCTCTCTTGAGTCTCAATACATCTGGGTGTGGCTTCATCATATTCAGTAGGTATACTTATAATGAGGGTTATTTAGTAACAATTACACATTCATGCACACACACAGGGTTATATATATATCAAGAGCTAATAATACATATATATAGAAAGATAGATTGGTTACTAATCTGAAACATCCAGATCATAAACATAGATATAACCATAAGATAAAGATAGATCATAACCAAATATATACAATTGTATAATCGATACATTGTATTTGGCTGAACATTGTATAGATTGGACACTAGCACTGTATAGATATATACATTGTTACTAATCAACTCTCTCTAAACTGCCAACAAGGCACAAAAAACCAACTACTCAGTTAGCTCTGCTCATAGTAAATATACAGCTTCATGAAGCATTACCAAAGCTTTGGCATAACTTGTAAAAACAAGAACATACCTACAGATACATATGTATGAATGTATACTCATACAGAAATGGAACTGAAAGAAATAGACTATAGAGTGGACAGAACTGGAAGCATTAGTAAATCCGATTAATTTATCTAATAGTGTACAGAGACTCTGAACTTTCATTACTATAAGATTTACCTACTATGTAACAGAGTAGGTATGCCTTATATTAATGAAATATTTGCTGAAAGAATGCTGGATGCTGCATTATGCAAATCCTTTCTGAGAATGTCAATAGTTGAATAAAACATGGAGTGAACTTTACCTTCAAGTCTTGGACTCCCTCTCCAACTGCTTCTATCTCACCAGCACACTCAAACCCCATTATGATTGGAGTTTTGGGCGGGTTGTCAATAGCACCTTGCCTCACCATCAAGTCCAAGAAATTCAATCCTCTGAAAAATTTGAAAAAAACCCAGCACGTATACGAAACACTGTAAGAAATGTAATAAAAGCTCGATATTTATACACGGAGAATTAATTGCCAGATATGCAGGCTAAACGATAGGGTAGGATAACCAGGTTACAAAACTACCAGATGGAAATTGCCCTACCCTGCTCGAACTCTGATGAGGACTTCTCCCTCTCCAGCCGTTGGTTCTGGCTTCTTCTGCACCTTCACCGTTTTCAAGCCTCCGAAGCCCGTAAGTACACACGCCCGCATTTCCTTGGCTGGTTCTGGCGCCGGTTCACTTGCCTTTTCCTCTCCAGCTGGCTCGCTGGACGCAGCAGCTGTTTTACCTTCTTCTGCCATCTTTCCTTCAGGACTGAGCCGTGCCACGGTGCACTTCCACCTCCTCGACTACGCACAAAATATAGTTCCAACTATTGCGCGCGACTGTGCGACAAGAAACTGAATTGGTAAAAATATAGGGCGTGTATCGACGCTAGTTTGCACAGCGCGTAAGACGACAGAAAAAAATTGATTCGCTCCGCCTTAGCTTTGAAAATGTGTCGCAGTAGCGGATTGATACAAAGAGCCGGTGCAAAACACAACAACAAGCCCGATAGGTGTGTTTGTGTGTGCCAGATTTTTACGATTTTAGCTACTCCTGGGCATTGACATGCACTCTCTTGGAATTCTCTTCGTTTCGGAAACGACAGGTTTCAAGGTAATAGGCTTGTTCACGGTATGTAATGAGTAGTTTCAGTGGTTAATACAAGGAATGGTCAGAGAAAAATAGACAAATCTTACGCATGGATTTAGCGCATGCGCTGTAATCTTCATGTGACGTCACGTAATGAGTAATGAGTGCACGTGCTAATGTTTACAAAAGTCAAAATGCAACTACTACAGCAATTCTCTTTCTAGGAGAGTTAGCCCAAATTGCCTGTATTGGCAGACGTTATTTGAAATATGTGTAGTCGACCATCTATCTAAGTAAATGAGGCAATTAATGAAGTCATTAAATTCTAGTGATTAAAAGTCATAGTGTTTGGGGCGAGCATGTGTAGTATTAATAGACCAAATAATTCTGTCCCATATAACCTTTTTATATTTTGGTGAGGGTTATTGGGACATAAGGCCGATGAAAGTTGATGTCATGGTTCTCGTCAGCGCCCGCATCAAATTTTACTCCCGCACCAAAAAAGTTCAACACTCATCGCTGACGAAATTCCCGCATCAAAAAGTCCCCATATGAAATTCCCGCCTCAAAAAATCAACAATCTACAGTCAGCACTACATGTATGGAAGACAAACAGTAAAAATTTGAGTAAAAACTGTCAACAAAGAAGTTACGACATTTTTTAATCTTATTTTGCATATGTACAAGACCTGATACCCTCACTTAAGTTCTATTGGTTTGTATATGAAAGATGAATGTTGATCTAAATCCCTCATCAAAATCTCAACAATGCCTGACGAGAACCATGAAATCAACTTTCATCGGCCTAACGGGGTTCATTGAAATTTCGTGAGATCGCATGCAAAATGCATGCGCTGCGAATGCGGCCCGGCCCGTACGCCGCTATTGGCGCGGAAAAAAACCTACCGTTCCCTTCTACATGTGTATACATTCACTTCAATCGTTATTCACTTCTTAAAAGATTGTTTTTCAGAAACCCCGCTTCATTTAACTCTAGTAAATTACGTTCGCCATTTACAAACAATCAGACCAATCAGAGCGAGTCTTACAATAACCCCTGGTTCTCGCTTGTATCTGTGGCGCTGCAGGAGGGCTGATAGACTCGCTCTGATTGGTCTGATTGTTTGTAAATGGCGAACGTAATTGTAATACTAAAGTTAAATGAAGCGGGGTTTCTGAAAAACAATCGTTTAAGAAGTGAATAACAATCGATGAAATTTGAAGTGAATGTATACACATATCAGTAGCAAGGTAAAGCCATGTAGAAGGGAACGGTAGGTTTTTTTTTGCGCCAATAGCGGCGTACGGGCCGCATTCGCAGCGCATGCATTTTGCATGCGATCTCACGAAATTTCAATGAACCCCGTTCTGTCCCAATAACCCTCACCAAAATATAAAAAAGGTTATATGGGACAGAATTATTCGGTCTAGTGTAGTATATGTGTATTATCATAATTATGTAGTTTGTAATCTGTATGTAGGTTATGGGTCACAAGATTCACCTTTGTGTCTACAGATATTATCATGCAAGCATTATCGTCGTGGTTGAATCGAAAGAGGAACCCGGCCATGCATCTACGAGCCCATCAATGCCAGATATGAATAGAGTACTGAATTTCGCTCTCATCTGCATGATGGCCGCCATGTTTCAGCAGTACTTGACCATCAAAGGGAAACTCGACGATTCTAAGCGGCTGCGCGACAGCAGCAGCGAGCGGGAGTCGCACAAGACGCTCTTAGAGAGCGTCCAGATGCAGGGCTCGTCCGTGTGGTGTAGGTGGCAGCACGATCAAGCGGTCAGACTCTGCTGGGTGCACAATCTGTGTTACCTGCCGCAGCAGAACGAGTTTGTCGTCTTCCGCGGCAACAAGAGTCGCTACCACGGCGTCCCCGACGATCGGTTCTCGCCCGCTCTCCAGGACTTCTCCTCGGTGAGAAACCACGGCGCGAACCACTTCAATTTCGCTGAGTACCCGCTCGAGGCGGCGAGGAACTTCAACGTGCAGGTCGTGCCCGGCGTCACGCTCGCGTTCAACCGCTTCAAGCCGGACAACCTGATGCACGCGATCCACGACGACCTGCTCCCCATGTACGAGACGCTGCTCGTCGACATGCAGGTCCCCGACGTCGGCGCCCACGACGTGAGGCTCGCCTTTATGGAGGGCTGGGATCCCGGCGAGTATCGGCAGCTCTACGAGATCTTCTCGCCGCACAGACCCGTCTACAGGAATGAGCTCGACTGGAACGCGATGGTCTGCTTCGAGAAGGTGCACGCGGGGCTGTCGCGGGCGACCACCTTCTACCAGTACGGCTTCACCGAGCCGCAGGGACCCATTGAGGGATCGACAGCCGACGGCTGCGTCGTGAGGCGATTCGCCGAGTTCGTGCGGATGCGGCTGGGGATTGAGTTGACGGCAGCCGCGCCGGACGGCGAATACGTGGTGCTCATCTCGCGGCGCGCGAACCGTCAGATACTGAATGAGGCCGAGGTGGCGCTGGCGGCGGCGCGGACGCTGGGCGCACGCGCGATCACGGTCTCGCCGGAGACGCACGACGTGCCGGTGATGATCGCGCTCGTGTCGCGCGCCGCCGTCGTCGTCGGCGTTCACGGCGCGCTGCTCGCGCTCGCCGCGTTCATGCGGCCCGCCGCCGCGCTCGTCGAGCTGTTTCCTTACGCGGTCGATCCGGCGCACTATGCGCCGTACCGCACGCTCGCGGGGCTGCCGCGCATGCGTGTCGCCTACCGCGCGTGGCGCGTCGCGTCGTCGCACGACGCCCGCGCGCACCCGGACGCGGCCCCCGAGCGCGGCGGCATACGCCACCTGCCGGCGGACGAGCAGCGGCGGATACTCGCGAGCGAGAGCGTGCCGCGGCACCTGTGCTGCTCCGACCCGGAGTGGCTGTACCGCATCTACCAGGACACGCACGTCGACATCCCGTCGTTCGTGGCGACGCTCGAGGAGGCGGTCGCGGAGCGGCGGAGGATGCTGGAGAGCGGCGGAGACGGGGAGGAGGGAGGATGCGACGAGGGGGGCGTCGTGTTGTCGCCGGGACCGGTGCGCGACATCGAGTGCGATGCGTCGACGGACGACGCACGGCGGAAACTGGTCGGGATCACGTGGCGAGCGCCGAACAATCTTGCTTACTTCAACGTGTCCGTGGCTCAGTACGAGGTGCTCGTGCGCGAACGGGGAAAGGAAGACGTCAACGCGTTCCTCCTGGGCACGGAAAACTTCACGTTCGCGACGGACGAGACGGCGGCGCGTCAAGTCTATTACGTTTGGGTGAAGTGCATAGTCGACAAAAGCGTCGCGGGCCCATTCAATGACAGGGCGCATGAGTGTGAAGTGTAGCTGTGGATCCCAACGGTTGAGTGTTGGCTTAGAATTAGGTCACATCATTATTATCGCGTAATACACCGCACAGCCAATTGAGTATTCTCCCCCTGATTGCTTACCTTATGCAAATAATGCATTGAAGCACATCAAAGGGTTTTACAGCAATATCTAGGTCCTTTTGTGTTTAAGGGTTGAGAATACTCTAAGAAAACATTTCACTTCATCATTCTAAAACTAGGTTGATTGATTGAAGATATTGCCTGACAGCTAGTTTACCAGTGCTTTAAAAAATTAGAAATTTTTTATTGTGCAATAAATATGTTATCCGTCTTTGATCAGCTTCATGATTTTCTCATAATGGGTTTTGTGATATTTCAGTGCGTATTGGAGTCAGCATTGAGGATTTTGTGATACTTCATATTTCATGTCATTCAAACATGTAACACTCGTGACTGGTCAATTAAAGATCATTATCGTTTCAGCCCCCTAACATTTGTTTTTGCATTTCAATAAGAGTATAATATAGTCTCGTACAGTACAAAGTATAACATCTCCAGCCAGTGACTTTCTGAATCTCATGCATTAAATCTGTTTAGATAGATTGGGCACTTCAAAGGGACATAATGCAGGCATTTCAAATTCAAGGGAGTAATTGTTTAGCAAGTCTCATTATTTTTTCCCATTTTAAAATTCATTCGTTATTGTGAAAGCAGCCCTTGTGTTTGGAATGGGAATGGCCAAATTATTGATCCAAATCCATGCTCCCAACACACTGCCGATAGCAGGTCACTACGTTGCACAACGTGAGTCTGTACTGTTCTCAAATATGCTACAGTCCAGCTTTCTTGTTTGCTATAACGGAATTGTGCATAACCCACATGCTAGGAATGGGACAGCAAACGGGCAATCAGTTCTTTTTGCTATTTGCTGCTCACCGTGTTGTCAATCATTGGCTCTATTCTATGCTTCCGACACTTATTTCATATTGCTGCTGTTTTATTTCGTCTCCTTCAATGTTCGTTCGCTGTTTAATAAATAACGTGGTCTCGACTTTTCCCCGTGTATCTGGGTTATAGCGAGAAATTATTAATAGGCAGATCCAACATTCCCACTGAATCGCTTCGCAAATCAATCGCTCTCCTAACGATGACAGATGATGCTAGAGAGAAGTGCCGTGCCCTTCTGAGGCACCTTAATAGCAGCTGTAAACCCCTCTACACGCCTCCTAATAATCACATAATCATTAATGGCCAAGCCATGCCAGTGAAGAACGAATGCTGTGTTGCAAAAGTCACTACCTTTTATTTCAATCGTACATTTTATACTCGATAGGTATATATGTACATACATCTATATATATATATATATTTCGATATAGATAGATAGATACATAGATATACGTACAATTGGCATAATTGCACAGCAAGCTCAATTACCTCAATTATGATAAGATAATAAGATATAACTTATTATAAGCAAGAAATAGAATTACAAGCATCTTGCCACGTAGTGCAACATATTTTCTTTGGTTGTATTATTTCATATTGGAGTGTTGTTATAAATTAAGTGTTTGTGTGTGCGGTGGATCAATCAGAGTAGTTATATCAAGGAGTTATGCACTCCTGATTTATATGGCTATAAGTTCATATATGCATTCATAATCGATAATCCCTACAAACTACCTAACAGTGATACAAATATATAAGTCAAGGAGTACTACTGTGGAAAAAGCATGACCTAAGACTATCAATACTGTGATAACGTTTTACAGCTGCATGAAGTGCTAATTATAGATGAAATAAATGATCATAATAGCTCGACATATGCAACAATATTTGGCACATACGTGCAGCGCACTTTGATTTAGCCGCTACATACGTAGCTTACATATATAGTACTTGCTCAGACCAAATCTATTGTCACAAACTCGCACTTAGCCAGCGGTAGGGTGACGCCAGCCTCCGACACCGGCTGCGCAACTATCTCGATCGCGCTCGTGTCCGCCGCAACGGCCATGCGAACGATCTTATACATGGGCACGTTCACCTGACACAGATACACGAACGAGGCGCCTTTCGCGACGCGACGATGCACGACAAAGTGATGCGCCGCTCCGGCTTTGTACTCCCAGCCGACGACGGCCGACACCGTCTTGCCCTCCGCGTCCGGCCGCACCTCCACGTCGGACACGGAGTACGCGCCGACGGGCGGCGGCCTGCGGATCGTCTCCGCGCCGCATATCTTGATCTCGCCGAGCAGGAAGGAGAAGGGAACCGACCCGCCGCCACCGCCGTCGTCGTCGCTCCACACCATCGCGTCGACGTGTGTGATCGTGCCGACCGCCTCGTTGACCGTGTGCAGCTGCGAGATCCAGCCGTTCTCCGCGACCGTGTCCGACGACGCGTCCTCGCTCGAGTACCGCCTGTAGAGGTCGCCGCTGGCGGCGGCATCCGTGCGTGCAGCGGGGCGCCCTCTAGCGGTGGCATTCGCGCGGCGTTCGAACGCGTAGAGATGCACGGTGCCGTCGTCAGCCTCCGCGCGGACGAGCAGCGAGAAGTGAAGCCCCTCCATCGCGATGGGCTTCAGGGAGAAGGAGACGAGCGTTGGCGCGCCGGGGCGCAGCGCGAGGTCGCGGAACAGCGCCACCTGGGCGACGTGCGTGCGCGCGGTGAAGCCAGACACGCGAAGGCAGGCGCCGCCGCTGTACGCATCGCGCGCGCACAGCTCAGCGTGCGGCCTACCGTCAGCGGGCGTCTCGTGTGGCGGCTGCGCGTGCTGTCGCGCGAGGTTGTGCCATGCGGCGTCGCTCGCCACCGCGCCGCGCTCGTACAAGCGCTCCCCGAACCCCTGGCAGAACGACGTCGCCAGGAGGCGCCGGCGGACGGCGTGCGCGTGGCAGTGCGGCGCCGCGAGCGACCAGAAGAGGTCGTTGTGCGCGACGAACTTCGCTGCGTCGAGCCGCTGGTAGACCCACCCGGGAGCAAAGATGGCGGCAGAGAGGCGCGCGTCGCGGATCACCTCGAGGGCGAGGCTCGTGTTGAAGCCTCCGCCGCCGTACACGCCGCGGCCGAACACGTCGATGCCGACGTAGACGTCCTGCAGGCGGCCGTCCGCGCCCGCGACCGCAGCCGAGCTGGCGAGCGTCTCCTTCGTCCAGCCGTAGTTGAGGAAGATGCCGTCGCTCGAGTCGAAGAACACCTTGGAAGGAACGCGTTTGTTTACGAGTACGACGAGGCGTAAAAATACGATTGCTTGCACGCCGAAGCATAAAAATGTGTTTGTTTGTACGACGAGGCATAAAAATACGTTTGTTTGCATGCCGAGGCAGAAAAATACGTTTTTGTTTGTAGTTGTGTTGTTGTTGTATACCTTAGCATTACACAGACACCTAGACCAGTCGTGTCCAAACTGTTGCCAACGAGTAACGAGTTATTCGTACAAACAAGACCATTGTGAAATGAATGAAAGTGTCAATGACACTATAGCTCACCTTGGGTGTGATAGAAGAGGGAGATGATATTTAAAATTTGGTAAGTGTTTCATTTATGACAGACCAAAATGTGATCAAATGTCCTTATTCCCTGTTTTATACTAATAGAAATTTCACTGTTTTGTTTCAGGGTTAGTTTTGATGCGAAAATAAATGTTCTGGGCGAGAGATGGCGCTACGCCTAAATGATCGCCATTTTGGTTTTCGATTATCACGCAAATAAAAGCAATAAAATATTCCAGTCAAATTACTATAACGAAGAATCTAAAACACAATATTACACGTAGGTATGATTATAGGTAGGTAGGTAAGTAGGTAAATGTAACAAAATCGAATGAATCTAGATGGCCATTTTCATTTTTGCCAAAAAGTGGGCGTGGCTTGAAAGTAGGTCGACTGGCGTGCTCCAAAATAGGACGTTCAAATCTCTCCCATAGGAGTAACAACTATGCAATTTGAAACATGTGGGTCAAACGGTTCTTGAGTTATCGTTGACCGTAAGCAGACACTGAAATGTATAATGAAATTGCTAAAATCGACCTAATTTGCATAATTTAAAAAAAATATCAAAACACTTGTGATATGTTTTGGGACCAGTCCTTATTCATTCACATACCAAAAGTGAGCAAAATCCGTTGAACCTGAACTGACTTATGGCCATTTCCATTTTTGCCAAAAGGTGGGCGTGGCTCGAAAGTAGGTCGACTTGCGTGCTCCAAAATAGGACCTTCAAATCTCTCCCATAGGAGTAAAAACTATATGCAATTTGAAACATGTGGGTCAAACTGTTCTTGAGTTATCATTGACCATAGGCAGACACTGAAATGCATAGTCAAACTGCCAAAATCTACCTAATTTGCATAATTTAAAAAAAATATCAAAACCCCTGTGATATGTTTTGGGGCCAGTCCTTATTCATTCACATACCAAAAATGAGCAAAATCTGTTGAACCTGAACTGACTTATGGCCATTTCCATTTTTGCCAAAAAGTGGGCGTGGCTCGAAAGTAGGTCAACTGGCGTGCTCCAAAATAGGTCGTTCACATCTCTCCCATAGGAGTAACTATTGTATGCAATTTGAAACATGTGGGTCAAACGGTTCTCAAGTTATCGTTGACCGTAGCCAAATATTGACGGACAGACGGACGGACGTACGACGGACGACACCCCATGGAAATAGCTCATCTTGACGATGTCAAGGTGAGCTAAAAATCGCACTCGTCGTCGCCAAAAAATCCGACGAAAAGACGAGAGCGAGCGAGCATTACCTTGTTGTCGTCGTTGAGCTCGTTCTGCCAGGCCAGCTCACCGGTGACCGTCACGCTGTCGTACCAGACAACCCGCGCGTGCGGCAGCGCGGCGCGCATCTCCCGCGTCAGGTGTGATACAAAGTAGATGAGGTTGACGAGCTGCTCTCCCGGCACGATCGGGTTCTCGATGTTGACAAGGTAGCCGTCGAACCTGTAGTAGCGGCAGATGTCGATGAGCGTGCGAGCGAACCTCTCGCACGTCTCCCAGTCGGCGAGAAACTTGGCGCACAGTTCCGCGCCCGCGTCCCACTCCGTGATGATCTGAGACGTGGCGGAAGACGTGAAAATTAAATTCGGTAAGGTGGACGAGCGTGAGAATCGTGCAGAACAGTCTTGTGTAGAAATGCGAAATTTTGCACACATAGGTATTATTTAAATTCCTAAATATTTCGTGGTAGCATTAATCGAGCAGTACCATGTCGTGGCATAAAGCGCCCTCTAGCGGTTGAACAGAGATTATACTATGCGACTCAAGATTTTTGGCAGTGGCTTAACAATATTTATAAAATCAATTAAAACAGCAGCTTAAAATGAATTTGATTTTAAATAAATCAAGAGTGAGATAGTAAGACATTATTGTACAACATCATAATCCACTTTTGGTGAAATTATTAAACACTGCAAGTGGTGTAATCGGCACGGCATTTGAAGATGTTTCCACGGTTTCCACAGAGTGTAGCAGGAGATTAGTGTAATGTACTCTGTAGACAAGCGTGTAGTCGTAAAGCCTCGTTTAATGTCGACAACCGTATGACGTAACAATGTCGTAAACCATATGTCGTTAAACGTTACAATTAGTTCATTGCATACTGTCTGGTAGTTTGAAAAACAACAGCTAATATGTAAATGCACCACGTTTAAAACGAGTAAGACTTAGTGACAGATGTAGTGCATCGTGCAGCATTTAAGCACTGGTAAACTATCAGAGTTTGCTCTGCATGTGCCTTACCGTTCCCAAGCACAGAGTTCCAGCCGCATGAGCCACATTTGTCCAACTGGAAGGAGGGATTGTTACGAAGTTGTGGCTGAAATAGTTGAATATGTCCACAAAATCCCAGTGCCAGTGACGATATGCCATAGCAGAGTCGCTACCCTGGGGAAAACGGTCGTCAAGATACCCACCTGAAACATGCGTGAAATCCACCAATTGGAAAAAGTATAAGAAGTAAGTTACTAAGGTGTCGTTTCTTCGCCAACCACAAGGATTATGCATCATTGAATTTCGAAATAGTATTTCTTTTAATATTAAAAAATATATATATCACAGGTCTTGCTGGTAATCGCGTTGGTTACGGTATTGGCGAGCTATCCTTGAAATTAAACAAGTGCCGCGGAGCGACAGCGCTCATCTAACGTCTACTGCGGTGACTCTGTGGTGGAGTGGTGGGATTCTAGTAAACCCTGTTAGTCCGCAAATTGTTCACATACAGCCGACCGTGAACAGGCCAGATGTATGCGAGGGAAACTTTCTCACCAGGAATGTGTTGGGCATCGTTATGGACAAGTTGGCCACGAGATGGCAGCGTAAGTTTAAGTGTCCTTCAGATTAAAATGGAAGCGCCATCGTACGTAGTAGCAAACAACTATGTGGCAAGACACAAAAGTAGGCGTAAGCACTCATCATTACCTAACGCAAGCCTACAGCTAAAAATAGAGAGCTGTCCACCCTGTAAACTAATTAACGTCAGGCAAAAAACTTAACACAGTACCACCCAGCACATTGCACTGGCAGGGCCACTGGCAGTGGCATACGTTACATGTTAACTACACTGACAGTAACAGAATGGGCCATAGAAATTATACGATTTAAGGAGCATAAACTTCCTTCTCAACCAAATTTAGCTTTTGAAAATTTCACTGTGACATTGTAGCCTCATACATCCAGGATGTAATAGATTCTACTAGCAACCGGCAGTCAATTCTTTCTAAACAGTAACAGTAAACAAATCCATGTTTAAACCCGCTCTTGAGGGTCAAAAGGTTATCCGACACTGTAGTACGCGTTCGCATGTCAGCAGAAAGTACATTTCATGTCCTTTCAATAAAAGCCAAAAAATTGCTAGGTCAGCCGCTGAAACAAAAAGTTTTCCAATCGCTCGCGTCAGACCATGTCCTCAGAAAATGTCTAAATCTGCCGTGCCATTGACCTTTGACCTGTGACCGTCCCTTTCGGCACATGTAGGCTTTTCTACCATGATGCAGCTGTACACCGACTATCACGAGCCTAGATCGAGCCGTTTTAGATTTGTGCCGCAATTCTGCATTTCCTCCCTAATCCTTAAGTTAAGGAGGGAATGTTCCCCCTTCTTTTTACACCTCTTGACCTTTGACCTTTGACACCCCCAGCTTCGACATCCCAACCGTTTTCGGATTACCCCCCACGTCCCGATAAGTATCGTGGACCGACGTCGAAGCGTGTAAGATTTGTGCCCAACTGTTACAGACGGAGATCGGACGGACGGCACGCACGCACGGACGGACGATCATGCGATTCTACAAGCTGAGCTAAAAATTAAAACAGGAGAGAAAGACACGACAGTGGCATTGAATATTTTTGTATAATTTTGCCCCGACAAACCACTGATACTCGAAATTAGGTGCTGTGGTTGGTTAATCTAGTTTGCACTATAATTTCTGTGTATACACTCCGGCTGGTGAGAGATGACCGTACTGTGTATTAATGAATCAAAGTGCATTACAAAACAACAATGTAAACAGATTAAAATTAGGATGGCTTTTTTAAAATAAATGTTGGACAGCGACAAAATTAAAAAGTTAACCAGTGTATCAATAATGTATTACTCCTCCAGCTGAAAACTTCACCAATCTATTTCAGCATAACCATACATGTCCCCTTTGGATATTCCTGCTTGGTCAGTGAAACGACAACAGTTACGTTTTTCACGTGTGCATGCAAAAAATTGGCGACTCGTTACAAAGCACGCCTCCGTTGCAACGCCGTCGGCTCCCGCTACCTGTCAATCACTCCGCTCAGACAATCGATCAATTGCCTTTACCAGACAGAACGCGCGGTGACACGAACCTGCCATGTCGTGACATACAAAGGTCAGCGGAAGGTCGGCCGGACGCTCGACGCTCTCTGCCAGCTCCACCGTCGCCACGTTGAAGTCGTCCTTGCCAGCCTCCCACGCGAGCACCTCCTCCCACGTCTTCAGTGGCTTCATCTGCGGCTTGTCCGCATCCTCGTCATCCGTCGCCGCGGCGACGACTCCGCCCGCCGGACGATTCGCGTTGTCGCTCGCGGCTCCCTCTGCTGCCGCCTCACGCGTCTCGCCCACACCTTCAGTTGTGGCGCCATCTGTAGGCAGTGGGGTAGTGACGGCGACACGCTCACCGGTGTCTGCTAAGTCAGGCCTCGAAACATTAGCTGTCGTGGCTGGTGGGGAACTCATCTTCACTAAAGTTCAGGCTTTGGTGTTAGTTGAAATTCCAGCGGTGTGGGTCCTCACTGTAATAATAAAATTATTTCTTTGTTATCCTAGTCGATATCATTATCATCATCTTCTTTTTGATTCTTGCACCAGTAGATGCAAAAATTCTGCTAACACTGTACGCAGAGAAAAAGAGCACATTTAGTGTAGAAAGAATCGAGCTGCACTAAATAACATTGCGTTATTACCCCACATTACGTTAGCTTTATGCGTTATTTTGTTCAGGCAGTGCATTAAAACGGTGTGCCACAGTAACATATTTAATACTTTTTCAAGAAAACCTCTGAACTTGCCTTTTGTACTAACTATGGCAGATCTTACTACTAGATAAGCAGTAGATTTGACACAACTCAACAAGAACGGATGGGTGCACAATTAACACGTAAAAGCGTGTGCATGATTACATAGTGGGCTTGAGCGTGACTCCACACGTGCTGTTCACAAACCTGCAAATAAAAGAAGAGCAGCGATGAGGCTAACATATATAGAGACTGTGTCTGAAGTCAGCTAGCAACTTACTGAGCACGAATGCAGTACGTGCAAGTCACTCCCAACGATGAATATTCGAGTAGGAGCACACAGCCACGACAACACTGCCAGATGACTGCATTTATTGCGGTAGAACAGTGCACTCTTATATACCCGTCCCCATAAACTAAACATTTACGTGACTAAACAAATAAAATTTCCGGAGGGAAGATAATATCTATGCAACCGGCTACATGTCTCACAAGTTCCACACCACAAATGTAGATAAAGGCACGCATGGTAAATAGCACCAGTTGTCAGGAAAATGATAAATATTAACTCAGCGTAACTCATCCTATGACTTCATTTTGTTTACACAATTTTCCCGGGCAACGTCTGGCACCACGCTATAATGTGTATATATATATTGAAAAAAATTTCAGCAGGGCAGTCGGTTGCTAGCGCTCATAGGGTCTATGTCCCCCAGGGTACTGCCGGAACGTACCCTGAGTACGGGGGGGAAAGAGTTAGGGTTAGGATTAGGGTTAGGGTTAGGGAGTACTCAGTAGGCGTAGGCGACTCCCTAGACTCGTTAGTGAAGTAGGCGGCGAGATACGGTCCGGCATATTAGATAGTACCAGGGTACGTTCCGGTATACCGGACCGTACCCAGGGTACGTTCCGGCAGTACCCTGGGGGACATAGAACCTCTCAGCGTTGCTAGCAACCTATGTGTTTCTCGATCTTGCAGTGTTGAAGTTCATGGTACACGTAGTTCTCAAGTCACACCCGACTATAGATGCAGCAGGGCAGATAGAGAAGGCTGCAATAGTTGGAGTGCACGTAGTAATCTACAAAGTCGGCATTCAGAGATAAATTCATACAATTATCAGACAAACAAAACTTTTTACCTTTGTGCATGGTAAGCATGCACGTCTGTTCCGGGTATAAACAGGCATAACTTTGCGTTTCGTTTAAAAGGTGTAATTTATACAAACCAGACTTGGATCTGAGAATGAAGTTTTAGACAAATATTAGATCACCAAGATAAGAATTCCTTTGGTTCTCCATAACTAGCTAAACTTCAATTACCACACGGAACAACATGATAATGAAATAACTTGGCACTCAGACCTTCTCACTATAGTCACGTAATTAACGCAAGTAATCACAATTATTATAGGCAATTAACACTCCTCGCACAAACATGCATGAAAATATTTTTCATTGATCTGATTAACGTGTTAGAAAACTAGATTAGCTCAAATTGCAATTTTCTACATCATCAAGTTAACGTGCATTCTGCTCTTAAACGCACACGCCGAAATTAGAAAGTTCTTACAGACAGGCTTCTGGTCCTTCCTTGCTCACGGTCAGCGTGGTTGGGTGTTGCTTCAGGTATATTGATCGGCCAGGACGGATAACAAGGCTGTGTTGCACCCAGAGGAGGCTCCGTGAAAGTGACCTACCACATTAGCTCCTGTCTTCTATGGATAGGCACCACCAAGCCCCAACTCACAGCATGTGTCTCTTACTTTCGACAGCGTCTACGATAAACATCCTGCAACTATTTTACCGGCAACTATCTTAGGTATAGGTTTCTGATTGAGTCTCCAGGGATGGTTCACGACTCGATTTGAATGTGAAAGAACACATATGGTAATCGTGAGAACCTATATATACTAATTTTGCCAGGGGACACTTAGACGTTACGAGACCACATGCTACGCAGCGCTTCAAACAGCGGCTTATTGATTGCCTACAGCCAATTAAACAGCGTTTAAGAAGCTTTTAAGCCGCTGTTTTTATCTGTCATATTTTGGCTGCATATGGCTACAGGTGGAAGCCTGAAGCAGGGCTACGTTTTTGCGCTGGAATGCTATATGTCTTGGCGGCATGCAATAACGCCCATCTTACTTTGCGCCAAAGCAATTACTTGTCGTATTAAGAAAATAATTACGTGCACGAATATTGAGCATTCAGGTATCATATAGTCGTGAAACCACCAGTTTATTAAAATAGACAGACGTGTGAATCGTTTGCACATCACACACACAACGGCATTTACGCAGCACGGATCTTCACGTAATTGACGGTACGTGACGTTGCAGAATGTATTTACAAAACAAATATGACTGTACATATCTACATTATGAATCACAACAATTACATAGTGTATGTAAATAGAGGTATGTGTGACCAATGCATAACATGATCAAGTTGGATGAAAATTACATGACACCAATATGCGCCTCAACGCCAGTATTTATAATTTATATCATAATTTCTTATAAATAAAACTGGGCACTAAAACAAACAAAAGGTTGGGAATATACACTTAGACATGTCTGGATTTCCACACAGTGCCCACTATTATGATATTTTTATCGTACAAAATTTTACCAACTCCCATTCTTTAATATCTCTAATACCAAAAAAGCAAATTCATACATTTGAAATCTTAGCTTCCTTTCTGATTGTTATAAATGCATTTACAATGCTGTATGTCATCACAACATCTCTGCCACGTGTCATACATTATACACTTGCAAATTCAATTATTAGCATGAGATCTATTTGCTCTACTACTTTGGACATGTGTGCTTACTTGATCAATAAATTTTCCAATACTGATCTATATGGCTACACCCATGTAAAAAAAATATTGATTCACATTTCTCACATACATCTCATACCAGCATCATATAGCTACTATAGTTAATCGTTGCCGTGCCAGATATCAAACTAAGATTGTCAAAACTATGTGAGTATTCGCCTGAAAGTAACGTATAAAACGTAGTTTGCATGAAGCCGCGATGAACGCATAGCAGTAACAAGCAGAGTTATTCCAACCAAAATACGGATCAAGGTCACTTTCCCCATTGTATACATAGCACCATCATTAGGGAGTAAACATAGGTCCTTGTTAGCTAGGAACTGTTCATACGTGCCTGCAGAACTGGTTTCTTCTCTAGGATGCAAACTCGCACATGTGGCCACAGGCTGCGGGACAAACCTGGTACTTGCTGAACCACTCCTGTAGGTGCTGCAAGTGTCCACCATGTGAGCAGCCCTGACACCATGCATATATACCCCTCACTGTGTGGTGGCTGCAAACAAACAAATAAACACAAGTTGGTTCTTTATATAGCTGAATATATGCGTGTTGGTAGTACCTACGTTTCGTAATTTTCATTTTTATTATGTTCCATATATAAGACATTGTTAAAAAAAACATTTACCAACTGTATTCTGTACATAGTCATAGTCAGATGCAGCTTGTAGACTGTCATGAGTGCATGTCCATCCGTCCGTCCGACCGTCCGTTCATCAACAATATGAGCACAAATCTAAACGGCTCATTTTACGAGAATGAATTGATCACTGTTGCCACGACGAAAAAAACGAGGCTACTGTAAACGAGACGGCGACGCACCAGACGCTGCAGGAGTTAGTGATGCCCTTGCACTTGTCGCACAGCCAGCCGGACCGCAGCAGCGTCTTGCCGCAGCGGTTGCAGGCGGTGCGCACAGTGGTCGACTGCTGGTTCAGGCAATTCACAGCCGAGTGTCCACTCAGCTTGATTATCTCGTTCGTGCAGCTCCACAGCTGGAATCGTCCTAGCAGATCTGTTAAACGAGTATATAACAAAAGTATATATATGTATATCAAGAGCTAATAATACCTAGAGTGTACAACGGAAAAACGGGAAAATAGTGCTAATTGACGGCAATATTATTCTACTTTGCCTGCGAGTCTAGAATAATTTTTATGGTATTGTCATTACAGCAGATCCTTTGCTCTTCAAAACAAGACAACCACTCTGTCAATAGATACTCCCTAGGCTGAGATACTGGCTCATAAACTCCCCTCCCACAGGCTCACGGAGCCTCGCATCACCAATATTCACTTCACTCCTTCTTCGCTCGTATTTGGCAGTTAGGAAAGTCGCTTACGGGGAGAGTTTTCGATAACTTTTATGAATGAACGGCATTTCTGTTATCATCGGAGCTTCGGGGCAATCGCCTATGCCCTTACCTCCAATTATCTTTCCTAGCACAGCTAAGCCCAGTCATGATAGAGCGGCATTGTTTTTCTAAATTAAGGTCTCTACAACGCAGCTCGTTCTATATGGCTGTAGTTAAGAGTAAAAAATTTGGCATGTGACATCAAATTATCAGCGACTCAAAGCAGAGACGGAAAACGATAGCCAGACCCGCAAAAGGCGACCGAGGATAGGGTGATGATGTGGGATGGGCGAAGCGCCCGGCAGGCCGAGGGTGAAGGGTTGAAGTGTACGAGCGTAGTATGTGCAGCTATGGATGATCGTAGTTGGACGAAGCGGGTGGTGTCTTGTTTTAGTGAGAGCAAAGATTCTGGCTTAATGCAATACGATGAAAATTATATCTAGCCTCGCAGGACAAAGTAGAATAATTATTTCGCCGTGATATAGCGACTATTTTCCCCGTTTTGCGTTGTACACTCTAGGTCATTATTATGCAGTGATGTACTTAAGTATAAGTTATATGTTATAATTATATCGTGAGATGTCTATTATCTCTATTATGTACTCTTGATATTATAATATATATATTATATTATATATTATATATATTAGGGACAATATTACTATACAGGGATATAATTTCTTTTAGTTAGAAGTTTTGCTGATACAAAATTTTTTTAAATCCACATGCATAGATTCTATACCTCTTATATAATAACTCGATCTTAAATCAAGCTTTAAATGGTCAGTGGCGCCACCTTTCGAGATCATATGTGATAAATTTGGATTTGTAATAATGCAGCACTTGAACATTGCATAAGCTGCTCTAGGTTTAGCGACCCAGAGAGACCGGGTACAAGATGGCGTTGCGCAAAAGATGCGTTATTCCCCGACCGCCGAGAGCGGCTAAGCCGCGCACTTCCGCGGGACTGGGCGCACGCGACCGCGGGTGTTGTATGTAGCATCTCGCGCTGCCCGCTATACGAATTCGCGCGCCGAAGGAGGGCGGGCGCGCGAATCCGTATAGCGGGAAGCGTAACATCGCGCAGTTTTCGTGAGACGTACACCGGCTTGACTACGGCGACCTTTGCTGCTCCAGAGCCACGCTGCAGCAGCTAGCAGGGACCAGTATTTGGTGCTACTGCTGGTTTGCCACACCAGCCACACAGGCCACGCCAGCGCAGGTGCTCGCACGACGTGCCGTCGCCACGGGCAGCGCGGGGTCAGGAAGTTGGTCGAAACGTGGCACGTACGCAGCCAGGCGGCGCCGCTTTTGGAGATAGCATCTAGACCGCGCCTCCCCACGTGGAGCGCCGTACGACACTTCGTTAAAAGCTCTGTGATAGACATAACGCTATACTCGGCAGTAGCGCCCGTCATCGCGTAGCGGCCAATGAGCGAGCGCGTCATCGCTGATTGACAGCATTTCTTGAGGTTTCTTGTAGGAGTCACTACGTCTTAGCCATGAGGCGCGCCACCCCAAAAAAAGTTTAGGGGCCGTTTGGAGATGGCCTCCTGCCGTCCATCGCGAAATATCGGTTGGATTGCGCCCAGTTTTCGCGGAGTTCGTTTTCAGACCCCTGTCTAAGGTATCTGTCTAAGTGGACAAAAAGGGGGCGGCGTATTCGCTGTTGGGGCACGGCTTCGCCGCGAGCTGTGCGCTGCGAGCAAAAACCGGGGCCGCAAGTCCGTCTAGCAACAATATTGAAGGGATAATGAGGAATGATTATGCTTGCTCAGACAGATAAAGTTCTAGTAACTGGGATCAGAAGAACCAATCTAACAGACACGCGGAAATTCCGGTGGGTGATCCAGGCACAAGGTTTGTACCCACCTATGTAAGACATCAGCCAGTGCTCCTGTGTGTGTTCGTCGATGTGAGGCCGTATGCGATCGCCGAGAACGATGAGCACAGACACGGACATCTGCACGTCTCCCTGAAATTATTGCCGGTTACGAAAAACAGCGCGAACGGCCTTGGAATGTTACCGACAATGATAGTCCTATGCTAGCCACGCAAAGACAGATGGAGACGTTTATTATTAGGGATAAATCTTCACTCAGATGAGAACTAAAAATTATCAACTATAAATATAATTCGGATTCACTCTAGTAGTGTCAGAGGCATTTCCCTTCAGTGTTCAGTTAAAATAAATTATTCAGGATTAAATCAGACCATTTTCAGTTACCATATAATTCTATTGGGCTCAGCTATCAGTGTCAGTGTGAACAAGCCTACTGTAATGGAACGACAAAAATATAATGTGTGAAAAAACTAAACTACAAAACAAAACAAAAACGATAGTCTACCCAAACCCACCTCAGCAATTCTTATTAGATTGTACTACATAACAAGTGTCGATCTCCTTCTTCTCCGAAGAAAGAAGGAACTCACCTTCGCAGCAAAATGGTGCAACATGTCAACCACCATCTGCGTGCTGTCCCAAAGATGACTCTGCTCGGCCAGTGCATTCGTGCTGAGCAGCAATTCCACTTTGCAGTCAATGTTCGGTTGGTCCTGCGCCATGTCACTGATTTCGCTCTCGTCGTTGACACTAGGTGGAGACCCGTTGAGGTTGTCAGGTGGGCCGGTACGATCTAAACAATTTATCATGAGTCATGAGAGAGACAGACAGACAGACACAGGCGCCCGCGGCCCAGCACGCCCCGGCCGGCACTTCACCGCTCCCCGCGCCGGCGCCCGCAGTCCGCCGGCACTCACCGTCCCCCGCGCGCCGCACCGCCCCGGACCTTCACCGTCCCCGCCGGCCGGCGCCCTCAACCGTCCCGCCCAGCGCCCTGCACCGTCCATCGCTCGCGTGACTGCCAAGCACCCTGACCTCGCCGCCGTCATCCTCAACCATCCCACCCGGCCACCTCAGCCGTCCTGCACTCCGCGTGCTGCCAGCGCCCTCACACACGCCCAGCGCGCCTTCACCGCTCCCCGCCGGCGCCCTCACCGTCCCGCGCCGCGCACCCTCACCACGCCCGGCACCCTCACCACGCCCGGACCCTCACCGTTCCCCGCCGCACCCTCACCGGTCCCGCCGCCCAGCGCGCCTCACTGCCGCGCGCTCGCGTGCTGCCAGCACCTGACCGCGCCCGGCACCCTCACCATCCCCGCCGGCGGCCCTCACCACGCCCGCGCGCTCCTCGACCACGCCGGCCACCTTCACCGTCCCCGCCCGGCGCCCTCACCGTCCCCGCCGGCACACACCACGCCCGCGCCATCTGTGTCAGCGTCCCCGTCTGCCGCGCCTTCACCGTCCCCCGGGTCCGCGGCGCCCTCACGCGTCCCCGGCTCCGAGAGCCGAGCCCCCCCTCACCGTCCCCGCCCGCGGCCGGCGCTTCACCGTCCCAGCCGAACAGGCTCGGGCCGCCCTTCACCCGTCCCCCAAGCCCGGCACACACGCACACCGCCCGGCTCACCCACCGTACCCGAATCCCGCGCCCAATCACCGTCCCGCAGCCGTCCCCACAGGCCGGCACCCTTCATCCCACGCCGGGCAAACCACCTCACCCGTCCCCCGCGCCCAGGCACCGCTCACCATCCCGCTGCGCCAGCACCCTCGACCGTCCGCCGACTACGCATGCTGCCAGCAGCCCTAACGCGCCCGGCACCCTCACTCATCCCGCGCCGGACGCCCTCACCACGGCCCGACCCCTCACCACGCCCAGGCGCCCTCAACCGGTCCCCTCGCTGTGCGCCTTCACCGTCCCGCCGGCGCCCTCACCCGATCCCGCGAGCGCCTTCACGCACGCCCGGCGCCTTCCAACAGTCCGCCAGTGCCCGGCGGCCCTCAACCCACGCCCGCGCCCTCACCCGTCCCGGCGGCCCTCACCGTTCGCGCTCGCGTGCTGCCAGCGCCATCACGCGTGAGTTGTTGACGAATCCCGCTGGCAATGTTGGAGAGCTGTCGGCCGGAGTTCTTCGGTCGCTGCGGGCTCCCGTCTCGCTGTCCGCTCATCGACCCCGGGCTCGCACTAGGCTTCGTGCCGCCTGTTTGTCGGCTTTTCTGCTGTCCGTGACGTGGTCGGCGTGGTTGTCCAGCCGCTGCTTGGCCCGCACCTACACGGCAGATGTGATGGCGATTTAGAACCTAAGCATGGGCAATGCAAGGCAGATGTATGCATTTAGCAACCTACGGCGTGGCAATGGCACAGACAGCATGTATGCATTTAGAACCTACACGTGGCAATGACAAGACAGCGATTATGCATTTAGAACCTAACCAATTGGCAATGCAAAGGCATGATGTATGCATTTAGAACTAACGCATTGGCAATGGCAAGACAGATGATGCATTGTTAGAACCTACACGTGCAATTGACAAGACAACAGATGTATCATTTAGAACCCTACGCTATCAGGCATAAGGCAATGCAAGACAGAATGAAAAATACAATTATTAGTATAACCTATACACGATGGCAAATGGCAAAGACAGATGTATGCATTTAGAACCTACGCGTGCTAATGGCATAGACAGATGTATGCATTTAGAACCTACACGTGCGCACTGGCAAGACATATGGTATGCATTTAGAACATACCACGTGCAATGGCAAGACAGATGTTATGCATTTAGAACCTACACGTGGCAATGGCAAGACAAGTCCATATGCATTTTAGAAACCTATGGTGGCAAATGGCAAGCACAGATGTATGCATTTAGAACCTACGCATGGCAATGGCAAACAGATATACGCATTTAGAACCCATAACACGTGGCAATGGCAAGACAGATGTAAGTGCACTTACAACCTACCCGTGGCAATGGCCCAAGACAGAGTGTATGCACTTACGACCTACGCGTGGCCAATGGCAAGACAGATGATCCACTTAGAACCTACGCGTGCAATTGGCAAGGCAGATATTATTGCACTTTACAACCTACACATGGCAATGGCAAGACAGATGTATGCACTTACAACCTACCGCATGCAATGGCCAAGACAGATGCTATGCATTTAAAATCGCTACAGTGGGTGGCAATGGCAAGCAGATGTATGCATTTAGAACCTGACACGTGACAATGGCATAGTACAGATGTAATGCATTTAGAACCTACTGCGTGGCAATTGCCATAGATAGATGTATGGCACTTGAGACCTTATGGCGTCGCAAGGCAAGACAGATGTAATGCATTTAGAACCTACGCATGGCAATGGCAAGGCAGATATATGCACTTAGAACCTACGCGTGGCAATGGCAAGACAGATGTATGCACTTACAACCTACGCGTGGCAATGGCAAGACAGATGTATGCACTTACAACCTACGCGTGGCAATGGCAAGACAGATTATCCACTTAGAACCTACGCGTGGGCAATGGCAAGGCAGATAATATGCACTTACAACCCTACGCAATGGCGAAATT